TTTGGATGAAATTGGCTTAGTGGTTTATGAGAAGATGTCATTTAAAGTAAAAGTTTACGGACGGACGGACGACGGAGGGACGACGGACGGATGGACGACGGACGGACGCCGGACAAAAAGCGATCACAAAAGCTCACCCTGTCACTTTGTGACAGGTGAGCTAAAAATGTGGGGGACATGCATTTACCTAACAATATGACATACCGAAAAGAATTCATTTATCTTACATTTAGGCATTTTTAACAGCTATCATACGCTCAACAACGGAAATAAACAAGAGCTGTCACAGGAGACAGCGAAGCTCGACTAATAAAATGCTGGACGCAGTAAGGAGGACAAAACTATGAAAGAAAAATCAATTATGTATAATTAAGTATTAAGTTATAGTAAAAATATAACATTTGTTAACATCAATTCCAAGATCAAGGGGAATAATTCTAGAAATGGTCATGCAAGAGTTATGGACCTTGCCACACAATATTTGTGTAATGATAAGAAATATATATTTGAAGTTTGAAGCAGATATCTTAAAAAAAAAAGAAGTTATTATATTTCTTAAAGAAAATCCTAAGTTCAAAGAGAGATAAATCTGTAAATATTGCTTCAAGAGTTATGAACATTGTCACATAAAATGTAAATGATTATAAGGAATAAGTATTTGAAGTTTGAGGTAGATACCTTTAAAAATAAAAAAGTTAAAATAAAAAATAACATTTTTCTAGTAAATAAATCTAAGTTTATGGGGAGATAATTCTTGCAATATTGGTGCTAGAGTTATGAACCTTGTCACATAAGATGTGGATGATGATAACGTAAATATATTTGAAGTATGACGTTGATCCCTTTAGAAATAAATAAGTTACAGTAAAAAAATAATATTTTGTATGGAAAATTCTAAGTTCAAAGGGAGATAAATCTAAAAATATTGGTGCTAGAGTTATGAACATTGTCACATAAGATGGGGATGATGATAATGTAAATATATTTGAAGTATGAGGTTGATCCCTTAAGAAATAAAGAAAAAACAGTAAGAAATAGTATTTTTTGAGGAAAATTCTAAGTTCAAGGGGAGATAAATCTGAAAATATTGGTGCTAGAGTTATGAACCTTGTCACATAAGATGGGGATGATGATAAGGTACATATATTTGAAGTATGAGGTTGATCCTTTAAGAAATAAAGAAGTATCAGTAAAAAATAGTATTTTTTAAGGAAAATTCTAAGTTCAAGGGGAGATAAATCTGAAAATATTGGTGCTAGAGTTATGAACCTTGTCACTTAAGATGTGGTTGATGATAAGGAACATATATTTGAAGTTTGAAGTTGATACCTTAAGAAATGACAAAGTTATAGTGAAAAATATTTTACTGCACCAAAACTTTAATCTAAAATCTGGACGCGGACGCCGACGCCGGGGCGAGTAGGACAGCTCTCCATATACTTCGTATAGTCGAGCTAAAAAATAAAATATTGACCAATACTACAATACACACGCGAGATGACCAAGTATGCTGCTGCACGCAATTCAGTATGTATTTTAGTCATAACCGCGAGTGAAAACAAACATGGCTAAAGCGTTCAAGCAGCTCGTTCAAGATACGATGAAGATAAGAAAGATCGTCAGATGCGCGACTTGGCGCGCATTGACTTCATTAAAATTAGCGATCTGCAAATAATATGCGCAAATTGCGCAATCGCGTGGCCTACATGCAACACTGGACATGAAATATCATATTTCTAGAAAAATAATTAATATATGTTTCTTTCTCACTTGTTTTGTTTACTAAGAATTGATGTATGATACAAATCAAAATCAAAATATTTTGGTTATCTTTTATTTTCTTAGAATACACGGATTGACAGTTTCCGAACTAGCAGACAACAGGCTATTCTTATCATATGATTTGCGAGTAAAGATAACCGATTGCGTATCTCACTGTATAAAACATATTGTGGTAGGTTTAACCATAAATTAAAATACCTTCAGTGTCAAACAATGTGTTGAAATATATACTGAGACAAAGTTAAGATCTCAAGCTTTTCATTGGTGTAATAAATTTTAAAATCGGACATTAAATCGCCCCAAACTAGCGGTTTAAAAACGGCTAAATTTGCATTGTTTTAGCATTAGAGATATCTATTTTACTCGAAGATAAGGGAAACCAGTGGCGGATTCAGGCCCTGGCTTCAGGGCTGCAGCCCTCACCCCCCCCCCCCCCAGCTTTGCCCTAAGATATGTTTACCAGCTGGACTGGATCAGTTTCAAACTTTATTGGCTGTAGTGTTTTCCCTTATAAAAACATTTATTGCTATCATCCAGTTGTTAATCTCCTGCCTGGGGGCTTGGCAGAGATCTTTATCTATCAATATGCTTGACTGACTTCAATGTTTAAACTGCATAATTGATTGGTTAATTACTTTCCAAAGGTCTAATGAAATTAATAGTCACAGATAGTGGCAAATAGATATGTTAAAAAGTACACCATATTAAACTATCTTTTTTTCATTTTCTTAAGGAAAGCCCTATAATTAATAAATTGAAAATTATTATTTGTAAATTAAAAAGATGGCGAGTTTTATGAAGATAATATTAAAGGAATCGCATTTTAATAACTAAGAAATTAACTAACTTAGATTTTTATCAAGATGAAAAGACTGGTAATTTGCATTTAGTAACTTTTTATGACAGTTATATTTTTTAAATAAAATTTAAATTGTACTGACCGATTCATTGATGGAAAAAAAATCTTATTGAATATTAGTGCTTGAAATTATGTTTTTGCACAATAGAAAGGCAGTATTTTAATATCACTTTACTTTGGAAAATCGTCTATTATTCAGATGAGTAAATTGATCAAGTGTTTGAAATTATTTTTATCAACGGTCGCGCATACAATGCTTACTACTAAACACCAGGGGAATTCTATTTGAATGACCTTGCATACAAAATACAGCGTGATGTAAAATCATCCAAAAGGTACCATAAACAGCACTCGAAAGTCAAGGAAATAACACCATTTTCAACTCGTATTTCAAAATTTTCTCAGTCTATGGGAGGGGACACCCCTCCCAGGCCCACCCCAATTACATATATTTTTTCTTAATTCCATACTATATCATATACACATATATAAGCAAAGTGCATTGCCACTCATAAGATGACCTATAAAACACATCAAATTGCAATTTTTGTTACATGAACAAGATGCTGGCCCAAACTTCAAACAAAAGTGCACAATTTTTGCCTGTTGCGTTATTTTTATCAAAATCTTACACCCATATGTCAGCCCCCCCAGGAAACCATGTTCTGTATCCGCCCCTGGAAACAACTCATGTTTTTTCACTCGATATACCTCAGTTATTTAAGTAGTTCATATTGAGACTGTCAATGGGCGTATTATTTCCCTTTTTCCCATTTTCTAGAAACAAAATATTTGAAGTTCATAAAAATTATATTGTAATGTAAAATTCTAAATAGAAATGTGTCCAACAACTTCATTTTGCTCTAGATTATTGCACCAATACCTTTATTCTATATATTTGGATTTAATATTTCTGTTTCTGGCATTTATATTTTGACAATTCTTTGACACTGAACAATATATAGTATAATACTAGTATGAAGTTTTTTCTGAAAACTTAATGAAATGTATGCTGACAGGTGTTGGCGCAATGAATAAGAGTATAAAGAAGTTATTTAACCTATTTTGTTTTACACTTTGCATATGTAACATACTTTTTAAGAACTTCAAAAATTATGTGTTATAAAAACATGAAAAAAAGGGAAATAAATCTCACAAAAGTGACAGTAGCCAAATATTTTTCTTTCTCTTTATGTCAAATATTATTCTCAATAAACAAACAAAGTTTAAAAGAAATATCTTAATTACTTTTCTAGAAATATGATTTTTATGACAAAGCCCGATCGGGCATTTTCACCAGCCCTATGGAGTAAAAAAAATATCACACCTCACTGTGACACCTGACCATTCACTTTTTACTCAGTTTCAGTTTTTATTTGGCAAATCGGCATATTTAACATACCTTTGGCCAATTTAACAAATACAAATGACGAATATGGCCAAGACATATAACATACATAGTTTACAAGATAAGCATATAAACATACAAACAAACGTGTACATTTTCAAAGTTTAAGAAGCAGCTTCCGTTTCTAGACATATCTTCCTTAACTGGAAAGCCTCATATATGTATTTTGCAGTTTTATACAGCTTACATTTACTACTACAAGACATGATATTAACAAATTTATGTACATTAGGCCATGAACAATTACCCAAATATTTAGCTCTCAAATCAACATATGCAGGACAAGTTAATAAAAAGTGATATTCTGATTCAATCAATTTTGTATTACACATTTTACAGATTCGCTCGTCTCTTTGTGAACCACTAAATCTTCCGAATTCAATTTCTAGCTTGTGAGAACACATTCTGAAACATGTTAAACATTTTCGTAATTTATCGTTTCTTATAATGCTCAGATATCTTTCATAACCAAAATATATTTTATACTTTCTATAGTAATCTAATTTAGACATATTCAATGTTGTCTCATTCCAAGATTGTATAAACTGATCTCTAATACGTTGTTTCATAGCAGGAAAATAATTTACATCTTGCCCAAAATTCACTAGAAGATTACTGTAGCCTAAATTGTCAATCAGTTGTTTAATCTTATACGCCCAGCAATTCACATTATTTCCATTGCTATGATCTAAATATAATCTATACATAGGTGAATCCTGATTTTTCATTATTTTTAACCAATATTTAATAGCTCTTTCTTTACAAATAACAGAAAGTGGGTACCTACCCAGTTCACCAAGAACAGCTAAATTAGGAGTTTGTTGTTTAACTTATGGTATCAATGTTAATATACACCGTAACTGAGTATTTACAAAATATTTGATGAAATTCTAAACATGTCATTAAATATCAATTAAGAAGAACGCATAGTTGTAAATAAATTTTATTTACCTGTACTTTTATCGCGATCGATTCATTACGTTGCTGCAAACGGCGTTTTTAAATCAAAGGGAGTTAAATAAGTTGAGCTATACTACTGATCCAAACTCCATGCGACGGGATTAGATCAATATCTTCGTTTTACCATGACAATTTAACTAGCTACCTAAATAATGTAAAATAAATTTTGATTTTTTATAAGTTTGTACATTTTTGAGTGATATATGATATCGCTAAAAATATCAAATTTTAATTAGATTTTTTTTTCAGATAATATTGCTATAAAGTTTGTAAGATCACGCTCTGAATACAGTAAAGTGTATAATATTGTTTCGTGAAAGCCTTCAATTTTCTTTTGCATTTTTCTAGAATATCATGTACTGACGGAATATATTCATCAAAAATTGCATCCATGGTAGATCATGACCATTTTTGTTTTGTTTTGTTTAAAACTCGATACAAATTTCAAATTTTGACAATAATTTTTATATTTGTAACTCTAAAATACTAATTTCTATTAGCCAGTTTGAATGTAAATTTAAAATGTTTAAATTTAGTCAATTTCTATTCATGACTGATATTCAGTGTTGTTATATTTTTCTGCTTCTTCGAAATCATCGATTCCAGCGCATTAATTGTTGAAATTTGAATACTGCTTAAGCCTGTGCTGGGGGTGGGGATATATAGCATTTACCCATTATCCCTCAATTGAGAGAACATTTTACGAAAATCTGTAATCCCTGAAGCCATAACGATTGAATAATTATCAGATAGCGGTATTTATGAACTGATCTTTATTAAAGCGCATCCCAATATTTCAATTATAAGTTTGTTTTAACCACGGATTTATATTACATATAATATAAATCCGTGTTTTAACCGAGGTAATTTAAGCGTTTTCGCCGTTTGAGACTTAAAAAATGGTTCACTAGAGTCGATTTTTTTAAGGGAGTACAAATTAAGCGATGTAATTTAATATAAAATAAAGAAGGAATCGGCCAAAGGATTTCAGATTTAGTTCGCTATTAACGATAATTCGTTATAAGCGAGTTTGTTATAAGTGGAGTCGACTGTATATACATATATGTCGAGCACCTTTCTTTGGATACTGTGTGGTAAAATGGTTAAAAATTTATGCAGTTTTCGCTTGTGAAATTATTAATCATTTAACATGAATAGCCTTAATCTTTTATAAAGGCATATTTATTTGTAAATCAAAATATCCGAATAAACGAAAAAGAATGAAAATACTGCATTCTGTGTTTGAATGCTTTCAGATTACAATATATTTAAATGAAAATGAGATCAAATAAAATCTAATTGATTTTACTATTTCATTAATCTCTATTTACCAAAATGATAATAAGCATATTAAGTATGCAGGGGATACATTAACAGTATGCAGGGGATACATTAACATAAGATAAAAGTGTCCAGAGTCATGTTGTGTGTTTGTATATTTTATAGAACATGAGCCTTAACCATACTGTGAGGAGGCTCCCAGGGCTAACAACAATTTGCAAATTAAAGTAGACATGGTTTTATTTGGTATCGTACAGATGTACCGGCCAGTCTAAATAATTTTTAAATTAATATATATAGTCAAACGAAAGAGAGACAGAAATATTTTTTGGTCTTGTCTTAATTGTAATCTGTAGTTATCTATTATTTAATGTGCCTCCTGTGATAGTTATGCATGTTTGACAAACTTCCGAAATATTTTATTACAATTTTGTTTAAATACCTTTTTATACAAAAAAAATGCATAAGTGTATGTTTTTTGTATATGTGTACTAAATAGATATCTTACTTAGATAAATTTCACACTTTTGTTTTCAAATATTAACCTGGGGGATATCTTCAAAATTACGCAACAACATGTAATTCAATTCTCTAAAAGAAAAGATGGTGTGAAAGGCTACAAGAAATAAAAATACGTTAAACTTGAGCAGTGGATAGTACTTACAGTGGTAAGACGGTACTTACACTGATAAGACAGTACTTACACTGGTAAGACAGTACTTACACTGGTAAGACAGTACTTGCACTGGTAAGACGGTACTTACACTGGTAAGACGGTACTTACACTGGTAAGACGGTACTTACACTGGTAAGACGGTACTTACACTGGTAAGACGGTACTTACACTGGTAAGACGGTACTTACACTGGTAAGACAGTACTTACACTGGTAAGACGGTACTTACACTGGTAAGACGGTACTTACACTGGTAAGACGGTACTTACACTGGTAAGACGGTACTTACACTGGTAAGACGGTACAAATCTGCAAGCCTAATCCTTAGTCTGCTGAATATCTGAGATGAACTTTACAAGCTTCCATTTTTAGAACTATCCATTATCAATCTGGATATATCAAGATAAAAATTTCAAAAAACTTTATTAGCCAACAGTACAGAGCCTGATCAGACGGCACGAATGTTCAACCTGGCTTGGTTCCAGATACTGATTAATTTATTTCGGTTCCAGCGGTATAAAGGGCGCAGTGTTATATTTACACAATCGCGTCGGATTAGTAATCTAAGACTTGCTGGCTGTGTGGGTTCAAATCCCGTTATGGGCAAGTCGTGGTTTCCTTGAGACTCATTGCATACATAATACCCAGACCGTAATGCATACCGGTACCAGTGATAACAGATTGCAGCAGTAATGACAACATTCCAAAACATTTACTGATTTCTACAATTACAAGGGCAGATAAGTCGAAAATGGGCTTTTTGCTTAAAATGTTTCTTTTATCATATTCTTAGCTTATTCAAATTTAAACTTATTCTATTATACAGTTTTCTTTCTATGTTACTGTAGCATTTGTCAATTACTTTCATTTGTAATATTTTCTCAAGATGGAAAAGTTTGCAATTCGAAAAGTGCATCGAAGAAACACTTTTTAATGACACAAAGTAAACATAAATTAAAATCAAACCAAGTTCATTGATTCAATGCAGTTTTACATAACATGAAAATATGAATAATATCCCTATGTACATGACCGAAACAGTGAGTGTCACAACAGATAACTTGCTTACACACACAGGAAATTAATTGTTTTCATGATAATTTGTCTAGTTAATTATAGTGCAATTTGATCGTAGTGAATCTTGTAACTGAGTTTCAATAAAAATAAATAATTGTTTTCGATGCATCTAGCGCATTCATATATTTTCCGTCGTGAGAAAGATATTATAACTATAGTATAAATTTTCAATAGTGAATTAAGGTACGATACGAATAAAAAAATAATAAAATAGTGATCTTGATTTACGGTCAGAATGTTAGCCACTTTCAGAGAGAAGCCCTAAAAATATATTCCTGCCTGTAACAGCAAAATTAAATTTAAATTTTCACTTTGACAGGGCTATTTGGTCACCTGTAATGTTCTCAGGAAAAGACACACTGGGTCGATATTGTGCATGCGTAACCCTAAGAGATGATTGTTTATGTGTATAACACAAAATCTCTTCATTTATTTCAAACTTGAGGTATTTTGTACATAACCAAACAAACAAACAAAACAACAACCAAACAACAGCAAAAACCACACATACACACATTTTCACGACGGATTTACTAAAAGCTCAAACTATTTTATGAAATGGGGAAATGAGTCCAAAATTACCGTGTAGTATCTATATAGTCATTGGACAATATTTAAGTCAACAGCAATGAAATGAACCTTATTTGCGTAATAACAGAATATATACCAATCAAGTTTATAACCTGCAGTAATCAGTAAATTTAGATTTCTATCAACACTGCACTAATCTGCCACAATCACTGGTGCCGGTTATACGGAGTGTACACTCATGTGTAATTTAATCTAATATTTCAGGATATAAATGCTATCTGGGACAAATATCGCAAGTCCCATTAAAGAATAATAGTTTTGTTCTGTATGTATGTATGTAGTTAAAGCTTAATCACGGGGGAGAATCACGCCGTTCGTTACCCAAACAAACAAGATGGCGGATGCAGCCAAAAAGTAGGTTTTTCCCTTTTTTCTCTGAAATTCGTGAAGTTCTAATGTAAAAGTTCATATAACAACCTTCTACACAATTTTCCTGGCACACAGGATTTTATTTTATGATGTTTCGTCGTCCTGTACTTCATCTGAAATGCGCGTCACCAGATTCGAAGCGAGAGAATTTTCCACCGGTTTGATCGTGGTAACGTACGGCTTTTTCTCTAAAATTCACTGTTTCTTTTACATATATGTATATTAACTGAAACCACTGACTTTAAAAAGTTGTAATATGTTGTCATCTAAGCATTCATGTCCATTCTGGCTAGAATAACCGCTGAAAATATTAATATCGGGCATTTTCTGGAAATGATAACGTATGGCGCACAAAATATCAATGATAACGTACGGCGCATTCTTTTCTGATAAATTGATTTTCTTTATATTTACAATACATAAGAGGATGTGTAGAACCAAATTAAGAAACTGAAATAAATAATATTAGTGTCCAGCTTTATTTGTCATCCAATGAAAGCGCTGTATTTCTTAGAAATTCCTTGTGTAAATTTTCATAGAAGAACAAAAGTTGATGATATATCAAAGTCCGTTCATAGCAGCCTTCTATTTTTCATAGTGCTTCATAGAACCGCGTTTGTGCAAATGGACTTGTATAGTGACGAAATAAAGTTAATATTAATTAAGCCAAATAAAGCTTAACACTAAGTATGCTTGTATTCATCCGTAGCTGTTCTCACGGGGGAGGAAGTGTTACACGAAGGATGGAGTTCTTATGATAACTTGTTCAGGAGTTCTTGTGATAACTGTCACGGAGTTCGTCGGAAAACATCTGTATATACTACAAAAACACTCGTTAAAATGGTTATTTTCATCGTTCAAAAATGAGTTTTAGGTGCTAAATTAAACTTTAATGATAAAGCTTGTCTTACATCTTGTATTATGTGTCAAAGCCTAATTCACAGGCCATTTTAATCGCCTCTTGCTTCAAATCTGGTAGTTTTCAGTAAAATTTCGAAATAACTTGCCAATTCACAAGTTTTGACCTGTTTATTTCTGGTCTTCATCCTTGCCATACATAATTACCTAA